GTCATTATATTTTATTCTCTTTCAGTTTCAGGAGACAAGTATTATCGTTAAATCTAAATGGGTGCAATTCATTAATGAAAAAGTTACAGCATCTTTTTGCCTTTTTGGCTCATACACAGGTGAGTGTTAGAGTGTATAGTATGTATATATTAACTGCATTGATAATCTTCTTTAAACTTCCCAGTATACCAAACTTGGTGAACCTTTTTAATTGATGAAATAATACATATTTCTCCCAGCATAACAGATCCACTTAGAAATCTCAAGAGATACTGCCTAAAATCAGGATATGCCCTAAGTTTTTATTTCTGCCTTCTGCTTTTCATTCTTGTAGATAAATATTTTGCTGACACATTATTCTAATTATTATAGCTAAAATTTGATTTTTATTCAATAAATAAGTTCCTCCATGAAGAAGTCTTTTAAAATGCATCTTTAATATTAAGTTTATAGATACTAATTGATAGATTTTTCACAGTAATAAACAGTTAAAAATGAACAATTAAAATAGTTTTGTGGCATCTTGGCTTCTTTTTTCTCCCGTTGCTAATATATGTATATACCATTTCATCATAACTAAACTTTTAAGCTCTAGATCTAAAAATTTTGTGTTGCTCTTTTATGTCCACATGTTAATCCAATGAAATGAGTTTATGCTAATGGCAAGAAAGTCACATATAGTAAATTCATCCAGCAGACATTTATTTAGAGACACAATATGCAATCTGATAAGCATTCAAAAAGGAATCCTTATGCTCAAAGAACTTTAAGTTTTCAGTAATACATATGAATAATATATACCATTTATAAGTATTAAATACTACTTTCTGATTTTATTTTGATTGTCTTAGTTCCACAGAGTCTAAAAGAGTAGGTAGTTGCAGCCAGAAGAGAAGATAGGTCCAGAGTTGGTGGAATTGAATTGATAGGAATGCTTTGTTTCCTATCTACAAGCTGAGAAATATCTCAAGTATACCTTCTTAAATGGAAAAAATCAAGACAGGATTGACCTATGAGATGATAATGATGGCCTATGAGATACTAAAGGATCATTTTATTATTCTCTATCTGGGGGAAATATGTTCACAAATTTAACATTTCAGGACCAAGGAAGACAAAATCTCTTCCCTCCAGCTCCCAAACATTGTTTTCTAATAAATGGACCTATTCACTTGCTATATCACTATATATAGAGTTGGCCTTTGAAAAACACAGGTTTGAGCTGTGAGGGTCCATGGATTTTTTTTTTTAATATTTTTACTGAAGTATAGTCAGTTTACAATGTTGTGTCAACATGGATTGTTTTCAGTAAAGATGTACTGTAGTACTACACAGTCCATGGTTGGTTGAATCCACAGATGCGGAACCACGGATATGGAGGGCTTGTTGTAAAGTTAGACACAAGTTTTTGACTAAGCAGAGGGCCAGTACACCTACCCGTAACCCCCGTGTTGTTCAGTGGTCAGCTGTATAATATATATGTATATCTGTGTGTATACATGTAGCTATAAATACATTATATATACTATATTATTTACTAAATCAGGGCTATTAGGGAAAAAACCTTAGGAGCTTCCATACTCTCAACAAAAGAAAAAGTTATTAAGAAGTGACCCAAATTAAAATTTTGTTACAGTCAAGACCTGGCCATAGCAAGCCAACAAGGATTGTTTTAGTACATAGATTTTCCCTATATAATTTTAAAGGTTTTTCTTTTTATAATTAACAAAGCTAACATTTTTTTAGCATTTAAATTTGGCTCCTGTGCTAAGTGGTTTACATATATTATCTCTTAATCCTCAGACTCAATCTATAAGGTAATACGATAGTATCCCCATTTTACAGGTGAAGAAACAGGGCTTACATTACCTGCTTTCAAGGTCATGCAAATAAGTGGCAAGATTGGAATATGAACCAAATGATTCTGGAACCCATGTTCAGCCAGTACACTAAACTCCTTTCCTTCAAAATGCCATAAACACTCCTATCTTGATAAAAATTTTCCTTAACTTAGAGCTCTGTTATGTACCACAAATATTCAAAATGTCAGGAGGATTCTAAGTTTTCAAGTTACGATCATAATTTTTCAGATGTCTTTTCAGTTCTTTTTTGTTTGTTTTTGCCATGTCAAAATCTAGGATTTGAACCTAGCTTGCTCCAAATCCATCACATCACTTCACTAAACTGCCTCTTTACGAAAAAAAATAAAATAAAATTAGCAAGATCCCTAACCCACAGTGTGTTCATATTCTGTATATTTATGACATGTGTACCGAGCCAAGAAAATTTTCACCTAAAATAGGTATGCATATTCTGTGGAGTATGCCCCTTATTACTTTATCCAAAACATATATTCAGTCGCATGTCTTTTTCAGATTTTATGTTTTTAAAAATTGTGGAATCAAGCACATGACTGTCAGAGGGATAACGCCAGGGGCATTGTATTAAGTTAGAGATACCTGGGTTCTGATATCATCCCCTCTGCTGCTAATTTAGCTGTGTGACCTTGGGCAAGTCACATAGTTTCTCTGGATCTTAATTCTCATCTGCAAAATGAGAAGGTATGACTGAAAGTTACCTAAATTTATTTCTAGCTAATTTTATGTGTCCCTATGTTTGGCACTTTGTAGTAAAGGTTAAGCCGTGTAATTTTAGTAATCTTGATTAAGCATTATATGTTAAGATTTCAGTTATTTGGTTCATGGTGTGAGAATCACTCCCTTGTTTTGTCTCTACTGATACCAAAAGAGAGAAGCATATGCACCTCGGATATTCTTTGAGGCTTCCAGACCTCCATGGTTTACCCCCAGATCACAGCAAGACTGTTCTGAATACCTCAGGTTTCTACTAGACAGGTAAAAAGTATTTCTAAAGCTGTGATTTGAATTGTGTTCTTTCATAACAGATTATTTTTACAGAACATTGTTTTTACCTGTAAAAACATATTTCAGATGTTAATCTTTAAAATGCCTTGCATTTATTATATTTTTTTAATTGTTCTCATTTTTAATTTGGTTTTTTTTAATCTTCTTACTTTAGACCAGCTGTTCTCAATGTGTGGGACAAGGACCCCTAGGGAGTTACCAAAACACTTTCCTGGGTCTTCCCATTTCCAGCTCATATCTGTGCATATTATGTAGTTGAGGCCAGGTTTTCTTCATATACTTCATCCAGAATGGTGTATGACAGTAGACTGAACGCAGAGCAGATAGGAAGATCCAGCTGCCTTCTATTAAGCTAGAGTCTTGAAATAATTGCAAAATGTGAAACAGTGCCATTCTTCTCACTAATTGTTTTGGTTTTAGAAAATATAACTTTTTCATTTTAAAAATGTTTATTTCTATTAACATGTGATTAGTTTATTATTGTTTTCAAATCTTTTATTTTACTATTTTTATTCTCAATTTTTGAATACAGTAAATATTGATAGATATAACCACATAAATGAAACCGTACTTATTTTTTATAAAGGCGTCCTGAGACAAAAAATTTAATACCTGCTCCTTAGACCAGTTCCTAATTGAATGGATTTGGTAAATTTTACTGTCTTCTTACCACATAGTTAATAAGAAGAGCTACTATTTTCCTGTATTGCCTTCCTTCTGTTCTGTGAATGGCTAGTTGAGCTCGACATGTGCAACCCTCCTTCCATTCAGCAAGGATATGTTGAATGATTTCTTTCTGCCGGGATTTCTATGAAATGCCAGGCAGACAAAGATATATAAGACATTAATTGACATATAGAGTTGACTATAATAAGTGCTATAAAACAGCAGTATGAAGAAAGTGTAATGAGAATATAGGGTAGTAACAGTCCCTAACGTCTTGTCTGATCTACATTCTCAAACTGTTCAATATTCCTCTTGTTTAAAGGAAGAAAAACTTAAATATTTTATTTTTTCATTTGGTTTTATTTTTTTTTTAAATTGAAGTACAGTCAGTTACAATGTGTCAATTTCTGGTGTACATACAGCACAATGTCCCAGTCATGCATATACATACATAGATTCGTTTTCATATTTTTTATTAAAGGTTGTTAGAAGATATTGAACATAGTTCCCTGTGCTATACAGAAGAAACTTTTTAAATATATTTTTACATATAGTGGCTAACATTTTAAATTAAGCAAGATATTTGATAAAAATAATTCGGCTACTTATGTAAGCCACAAATGTTTTTAAACGGAAATGACATTTAAACTTAGGTGAAGAAGCTCTATAATGATATACTCTCCTGCAGGCTCCATGAAGAAGAAAAGATCTTGAAAGTTCAGTCCTCACACAAGCTGTCTGAAAGTATGGGGTACAATGAAACTTCTTTACAAGAAGTAGCCAGTAAGGCAGCTGTACTAACAGAGACCCCTTGCACAAGTGATGGTGAGAAGACATTAATCGAAAAAATGTTTGGAGGAAAACTACGAACTCACATATGTTGTCTGAACTGCAGGAGTACCTCACAAAAAGTGGAAGCCTTTACGGATCTTTCACTTGCCTTTTGTCCTTCCTCTTCTGTGGAAAACTTGTCTTTTCAAGATCCAGCATCATTACCCAGTACACAGGATGGTGGTCTAATGCAAGCCAGTGTACCTGGTCCTTCAAAAGAACCAGGAGTCTGTAATCCAGCAACAGCTGCCTTTGTCTGTGACTCAGCTGTGAGTGAAAGAATGGTGGACAGTTCCGATGAGTTTCGCTGTACTGAAGAGACTTCTGTCCCTAATGACTCTAGCAAGATTCTTGCTAATAAGGATGTACCTCAGAAACCAGGAGGTGAAATCACACCTTCAGTAACTGACTTACTAAATTATTTTTTGGCTCCAGAGATTCTTACTGGTGACAACCAATATTATTGTGAAAACTGTGCCTCTCTGCAGAATGCCGAGAAAACTATGCAAATTACGGAGGAACCTGAATACCTAATTCTTACTCTCCTAAGATTTTCATATGATCAGAAGTATCATGTGAGAAGAAAAATTCTAGACAATGTATCACTGCCACTGGTTTTGGAGTTGCCAGTTAAAAGAACTACTTCTTTCTCTTCATTGTCAGAAAGTTGGTCTCTAGATGTTGACTTCACTGATATTAGTGAGAATCTAGCTAAAAAATTAAAGCCTTCTGGGACTGAAGAAGCTTGCTGCCCAAAATTGGTGCCCTATCTATTAAGTTCCGTTGTCGTTCACTCTGGTGTATCCTCTGAAAGCGGGCATTACTACTCTTATGCCAGAAACATCACAGGTACGGAGTCCTCATACCAGATGTGCCACCAGCCCGAAACTCTGGCGTTAGCCTCCTCCCAGAGTCATTTACTAGGGAGAGATAGTCCCCGTGCAGTGATTGAACAAGATTTGGAAAATCAGGAAATATCAAAAGAATGGTTTTTATTTAATGACAGCAGAGTGACGTTTACTTCATTTCAGTCAGTCCAGAAAATCACGAGTAGATTTCCAAAGGACACAGCCTATGTGCTTTTGTATAAAAAACAGAACAGCACTAATGGTTTAAGTGGTAATAATTCAACCAGTGGACTCTGGGTAAATGGAGACCCACCTCTCCAGAAAGAACTAATGGATGCCATAACAAAAGACAATAAGCTGTATTTACAGGTAAGTTGAAAATAGAAGCTTCATCATTTGTGAAAAATATTTAAACACCCAGTTGACAGGTGGTTAAATGAGTGCCCTTAATTTTGAAATCCAACTTCTACATTTTCAAGGTGATAATTTTGAATTTTGAATCTGGGTTTATATGAAATAGGTTCAACCTATGGAACTAAATTTTCTTTCTAATGTTAGGAATTAGTTATGAAAAGTAGCAATTAGATGCAGTATAGAAGACTTTCTTTGTTTTTAATTACAAAAGATGAGATTATTGTAAAATCATTCCATACAGAAACACTGGAAGTTTAATAAAATGGAAGTATTTTCTTCTTCTCTTCAGTCCCATCTGCCAGGGGAAACAACTGCCAAATTTGGCATTTATTCCTTCTAGATATTTGTATAAATACTGTAAGAACTATTTCTTGACAGTCAGGTGGGTAACATAAAGGACACTAAAGATAGGATATTTTTATTCTTTAAGGATCTGATCAGTAAAACCAAGGCTATAAAAGAACAATTAATAATAAAAACCATGGGTAAAAGGTTTCATATGAACTAAACTTACTTATAAATGTAATTTTCACAAAGAGTTACTGATTTTTCTTACTTTAAAATTAATAAAGACCTTGCTGAAAGTATTTTTCTTTGAAACCTGCCAACTTGCTATCAACATAAAAGATAGGCAGTAAATTGAAGTTGAAGTTGCAGGTGTAGTAATTAGGTGTTGCAAATGATTTTAAGTTTCTAAAAATTTTGTGTTTGAAAGTCACAAAACTAAAAGATATAGAATAAGAGAAGAAATGGTACTGATTTTCAGAGGGAAGTTTATTCAAAAGTTTTCACATTTACTATACTGTAAAATAAGTAATGATACATGATACATTTTACAGGAAAAAATCAGAAACACAGAATATTTGTTAGAATTATCCACTAGCAAAGATTCTAACATCCAGTCAGAAGGTTTATGATCAAGGTAATAGACTATATTCAACCATGTCCTTCTTGCTAGATATCAAATGATATTGCACTTGATAAGAATCATCATGATTCTTGAAGACTGGAGAGTGAAGGTAAGAGGGTTAGATTGAAATAGAAATTTTCTAATATGTAAAATATAAAAATAAGACTCAGTACAATCTTGACTTTTGGAAACATGCAGAAACTCATCAAATTTCTGTGACTGGAATGCCAAAAGCTCTTACAACCATAACAACTACTTGTATTGCAGCCTAGCTCTAAATGATTTTCTCTGTCTTGCCATTTACCCAATTACATCCTGATTTTACAGTGTTTATGTGTGATGAGCCATTCTTTTCATTATTGTTTTAAGACCCTTCTCTCACTGTAAAGGAGAACTATTATATACCTTGTTAATTCAGTTTCTCAGTGTTGTGCAGTAGTTTTAAGTTGCATCGTAAGTCTCAGATTGGCCATTTGTTTAATGCGAAAAAGATAATGCTAAATTTTACTTTAAGGTATTTACTTGCCTATATTAAGACAGGCTGTTAAAGCTTCATTATCAAAGTGCCTTTTTAAAGCAAATTATACAGGGAGGGTGTAGCTCAATTGGTAGAGAGCACACTTAGCATGCATGAGATCATGGGTTCAATCCCCAGTACCTCCTCTAAAAATGAATAAGTAAAACTACCTCCCCTCAACAAAAAAAATGTTTAATTAAAAGATACAAAGTTTATTTAAGAAAAATAAAGCAAATTATAATAATACTCTTGATTAGAAATTTAAATATAGTTAGACTGTATTATTCACTTTTAAATACAACAATGTAATTGATGCAGTTTGAATTATGATGTAACGCATAAAACAGTTGTAGAAAACTTAAATCTTAATAAAAGGAAGGGTGTGGAGTTAAGTCACAACTAGATTTACAGGAGTTAGAAACTCTTGCTCTTTCTAGTGTTGGCAGGATTGGTGGTTTTGAAATGCCTGGGCAAAAAATCCTGTCTGACAAACCATTTTCTACTTTGTCGTATGCTGACACATAGGAGACCAATGTAAATTGTGGATCTTGAAGTAAATTTTGAGAAAGGCTTGTCTTTTCATATGTTTCTCTCCCCTCAGTCCAACTTCCATTAGGAGTATCTCCGTTATTTTAGAGTCTGGACTGCAAAAATCATGCCTTTGGTTAGGATCCTGGGAGAGCTGTAAGTTTCACCACCATTGCACTGCGGAGATCATACCTAGCCCCGCCTGTCCCACACCAGCTGCAGGCAATTCTCCCCTTGCTTGTTGGGTTTCTTTGTTTCCTTGGAGGAGGTGGTAGTTTAATGTCTTAATATTTTGCTTTGTCATACATACAGAAGAGTATACATTATATCTGTGTAGTTTAAAGGGAAAAAATGGATTAATTTAATGTTAACAGATTTACTTGAATGAGAAATCTAAATATACTGAAAGGTTTTTGTCCCAAAGCAATAGTAACTCTTATTTCACTAGGTCAACTGTCTACTGCTGAAATAATTAACTTTCATACTTGATATAAAATTGGGATGTAAATTACATATGCTGTGAGACTCATAATTTGTGACATTTACATAATATTCTCATCTATATTAAAAGAAATAAAATGAAAAGCCTACTTTTATCCATTGTTTAAGCTTCTAAAAACAGAATTTCATACGTTTTTCTTGTTAGCCATGTATTTGTGTAAATAGATAAGAAAGCAGAAAGGAATATTACTTTCTTGGGATGCTCTGTCTTGAAATATAATATAGGTTTCAAGAGTCTCAGAAGCAATGGAGTTACTAACTCAATTTTTTTGTATTTTGTATCTCCTTCAACATAGCTTCTGGCAGGAAATCGCTTTTCAACAAAGTCCAGGCAAAATTCACCATAGCTTTTAGGAATAGAACGCCTTGAACTCCACCTACCATATTCATTAAGTTTAATTTCTTTCTTTAGGGAACATGTGCAAATCTTAAACCAGATATTATTTCTTAGATACAGAGTCATATTTTCATTGATTGTTTAGCTGGTTTAATAGGTTATAGAGCAGAGGATTTTTGTTTCTTATTTTTGTGTCTATTTCCGAAATAAATATGGTTTTTATTTTCTGTATGTTAAAGAAAAAATCTATAATTCTTACATTAACTTTACAGATTGAAGAATAAATTAACATATCTCCTGGAAAATATTGTGTGGTTAGCCACTATACAGAGAAGCCAGTTATAAATGTTGTAAATGATAGAGTAAATGGAAAAAATGTTTTTGAGAAATATCCTGCAAATTAAGTTTGAAAGCCTCTCTGAGGCCTGTCAGAGACTGGTTAATTAAGCCATTCTACTATGAGGATTTCTTATCTAAGGTCACAGTCAGCCATAGAAAAAATATGTGGTTCTTGATAATCTGTGTACTGGGAAATCGCACAGCAGTCACTGTGTGCTACTGAGAAACAAGGTGTCCATAATATGACAGATACATGTCAGGGTAAGCCTGGGGGGTTTTCTCCATAGTGAAAAACTGGACATCTCATGAAGGAGGTAGAATAGTCAACTAAGAAATTTTAGCTAGAAATTATAAAATAATAGTACTATGTCCTGGAGGAGCAAAGTAGTGAGGCTTTTAGTTGAAAAACTGGAAATCGTACAGTTTTTGTTATTCATGCTGAGTGTACTGTGAAGGTTCTTTAAGATGATGACACCCAACCAGTTAAGGGTTGTGCTGTTACCTGGCTTGCAGGCCTTGCTCACAGTGATGACCTCTTCAGAAAGTTATAGACTCTTTCCCAGAAAAAGGGGTCTGCCAGAATATTCTCCCTGTTCTTACAAGGAGTTTGTGCCAGTTGTAGAATCTAGTTCTTCACCTTGTCAAATGAATTTGCAGTTGATTTATTTATGAGTAAATAAATATTCACATAGACTCCTTTTGTAGCTAAGTACCTAGTAGTGTTCCAATCTGAGGTCATTAATACTCACTGAGCACCTAATACTTGTCTGACACTGAGATGAATATGGTTCCTTATAAAAGTTCTAGTAATCTGGTAGGGAAAAGCATTAAGTAATACTGTAAGGAGACAGGCTCCATTGTGCTTAGCAGTGTTTCTGGTATCTTTTATTTACTGAGAAATATTCTGAGGAAAGGATAGAAAAAAATTCAGCCTTCTTTCATTATTTATGGTTTTTACTGTAATCGCCCACTCCCAAAATGGTCCCACTTGATGGGGAGTAGATAATCCACTGTCATGACCTTTGAATTCTCTGTTCTGTGTATTAGAAAAGAAATCCATTCCTGTATGTGTGGATGAGTGTTGCAAGAACTGTAATATTTCTGTAGAGAAATTTTAAGTATGGGGCTTCGGTTTCCTCTTCTATAAAGTGAGGTATTGAAACAACACAGCCTTTAGGATCTGTCATTCCGTAGAGTTATACCAGGATTTTGCTATCTTGTTTGCTCCATCTGTGGTTATGTACTTTACTTTAGTAAGATTTGGTAAGGATCAGTGTAATCAATATTTTTACAGTCACTGAGAGTTGAAGGATGCGTATTGAGGCAATTTTAAAATATTTATATATAGGTGCTGTGTCCATCCATGTGTATTTAGAATTTTAATTTCATAAAAATTATTTTTAATTTTAGGAACAAGAGTTGAATGCTCGAGCCCGGGCCCTACAAGCTGCATCTGCCTCCTGTTCATTTCGGCCCAATGGATTTGACGACAATGATCCACCAGGAAGCTGCGGACCAACTGGTGGTGGGGGTGGAGGAGGATTTAATACTGTTGGCAGACTCGTATTTTGATGCTGAGAGAGTCCAAATGCACTGGTCACAAAACAGCCAATACTATGACTGTTAAAATGTCAGACTGTAACAAGTATCTTACCTATCTTTTATTTTTCTTTTCATTAGACCCTTATACTTTGAGAAAACACATTCAGTGCTTGTTTTTATTTTCTTGACAATACATTTATTAACAAAATGCATCATGGGAAAAAAATCTACCTCTTAAAATTCCATTTGCTTTTATGGTTAGACATGCTTGACCAAAAATTTTCAGAGGAAAATATATACCTGGTCCCTAATTAAGCTGCATTAAATTTAGTAGAGGTATTTAAATGGTCCTGTCCTTGGTTTTACTGAAAGAAAAAGAAAATTTCATTTATTATCCTTTATAAAAGAATTGGTATTAGAGTTGAAGGAAATATTGTTAAAAAGGAAAGAAAAAATCTTTTATTTAGATTACCTGTGTAGTTACCCCATTATTAAATTCAAGTCTTTGAAAATACTAGAGATGATACAGTCTCTCTTGAAGGCAATAACATAAAATTCATCCAGCTGTAGTACTTTTCAGGTTTGTGTAGTGCTGTCTTCAGCATCACTGTATCTGCATTTCAAGTACAAATGTTTTAAAAAAGGATTATTTATACATATGTGCTGAATTGATTTTAAGAAAGGTGCATGATCCTGTAGGAGCCACATTTTTACCTAAAAATTGCTAACTTTGTAGTATTTCTAATTGTTTGAGGATTTTAAAAATTCTATTTCAGGGAGTATATCTTCTGTGTGTTTTGAAGGAGGTGAGTTCTGTATGTGCCTTGCAGTACTGTAATTCAAAAATAGGAATCTTTGGCTGCGGAAAAGTTTTTTTTAAATGAAAAATGAAAAATGTTAGGAAGTAATTTTTTTGTGCTAACATTAAAATTATAACTTTTTGAAAGGTATTAGATTTTCCTGAAGTAAAATCTGATGGTTCTAAATCAATAAGTGTGATAGTTTGTTTTTAACTCTTAGAAGAATTCAGAGGAAATGAACCTAGTCACGTAAAAAAACTTTGATTTTTGTTACTAATCCTCAGAATATTAAAAATTGATCACATATTTTTAGAGTTGTTCATCCAGGTTTTTCTGAGTTTGTTGTTGTTGTTGTTTGAGTCATATGTTTTGCACAATTGTTTGTTTCACAGTTTGAGATAAAATGTCAAAATGTCGGCCTGTACCGTCCCACATGTTCTTTTGCCAGGAAACTGGCAACCATTTGGGGCTCCTGGGTCTTGATTACACAGTATTCAGGAGTCAGCCCAGTTGTCCCCGTTCATAAAAGTTTTAACTTACCCATGGTTGCACATTGTTCTGAAGATTGGTCTCCTATTTATTTTGAAAACATTTTAAGGAAAGAATGGCCTTTAGTGATTTGGGGTTTATCTTTTTCCCAAGCTTTTAATGGCAGGAGTTAAAAACAACTCCTCATCCTCATTCCACCGCGTCCCACTCCTAACCTGTTTCTAGTCACGAGGAAGATTAGGAAACCTGACTGGATTCGTTTAAACTGGAAATTCTTTGCAGAATTGATTAAGCTTTCTCTTCCGTATAAATCACTGACCCAGAAGGACTTTTATCAACTTCCTTTCCTGTGGACTTCCTATTCTCATAGTGGGTGTCTGAGCTACCCAATGTGTTCAGTTGTCCACTGGCTAGATAATGACTTACAGTCAGGTTATATCAGTCTTAGCATTTACTAAAATTGGTAAAGTCATTAAATATTTGCTGGGTTGATATTGGGTTCAGCTGCTTCTATGGGAAACTTCCATAAAGACCATTAGACCTACCCAAAGTTTTATCTATGATCATTTAAGGATCATATGTCTCAAGGTAATACATACTGAATTTTTTCCAAAATGATAACAGAAAGATAAAGTTCTAGTTATATAATATTACACATTTCAATAACTTCATACCAGTACCAAAGACTTGAAATTAAAGATTTCCTTTTAAGATTAAAAACACAGTAACATTATTTGCTGAATTTAAAGCATTTATACCTGTGGAAGACTTGGAACCAGAATAATCAGGAGCTTCAGTCAAAAATTCATCCACCTGAGCCTTTTCAATAAGCTGATACTTAGGATTGCTCTGATGATTTTCCTCCTCAGTAATTAGCATCCCTCTCACTTGACTGCAGCTTGGTTTAGTTGTCATATTAGGTATTCCCTTTCCCCATATTCCTAACCCTTGTCCTTTCCTCTGCCTCTTGCATATGTTGTGGGGTCTGACTGTGGAGGCTGGCTAGAGTACTACTACTATTTCTCTTCAGTTCAATCCAAGGCAATCAGTTAAGATGTAGCTGCTCATTTTGCTGAGAAGAGCACATTAGGTCTCACTACTAACAAAAATTAAAAACTAGGCATCTAAGCCTTTTCCTCTCAAAGATCTTTACTGGCACACTGAGAACAGTAGAGGTTTTTTCAGAGAGCTATACAAAGAAGAAAATACAAATGTGGTTGGTCGTGTAAGCCTGGGTAACCCATCCTCTAGGCAGGTGCCTGTGAAACTGTCTTGTGACACTTCCATAGCTCGAGTTGGAGAAAGGAGTGTAGCTCAGTCTCCCTTCAGGCATCTTCCCATCACCTCTCTTCCAGCTGAATAACCAGAGAAGTAGGGCAATGCTGGGGTAGAGATTCCTGACCTTTGTTTCCATACCTTAGGTTTCCAGAAGACTCCTGTGGATGTAGGAATAAAGATCTCTCGTAATGTGTAGAGGTATTCGGGGACTTTGTGACAGGTTCAGAAGGCCGATTTTTAAGTCACATTTGGAAAGAACAAAAATATTTCAAAAGTAAGTCTTAAGCTCAGATCTATAATGTTCTTTTTCATTTAGATCTGTTCTTTTTATGATGTTATTTACAAAAGTACTTGTCTTTTCATATACTACCTCTTTAAGTACTTTCTGCTGCCCTCTTATGAAAGAGGATTGAATGCTTAATGTGTGCCCAGCACAGTTTAATTAAACATAATTGGCATAATCTTTCTAGTACCCAGATCTTAATGGAAATGACCATTTTGATATTGTGTACTTAGTTCCAGTTCTTAATCCCTAGTGTATCTTTTCCTATTGTGTACTCCACACAATATACTCTATACCAAGAGAGCTAAAACAGAGGAAATAATGTTTTACATTTATATATGGTATTTTTCCTCATAAAGGTGTTGTACTTTGTATATCCTTTTACCCTCTGTTTTTTCCTAATAAGATTAGGTTTCTAAAACTAAATATTCTGGAAGTAAAGGATAAGTTCTTCTCAGCTTATGAAAACTTACTAGAAAATGTTAACTTATTAATAATTCAGTAATACAATCTACAAGAATAAGGTTAAACTTTGGATAATGTGATCCTGTAACAAACAGGTTTAAAGAGAAAGCAAGGAAATATGAATTTAAAGTTACCCCAAAGAAGCTTTAAAAATAAGTCTAAAATATAAGCTGTTCTATATACATATATATTCTTAGGCGTTTACCAAACTGTCATATCATCATAGAGCTAGCCTTATTTTGTTTTACTAAGTTAATTTTCTTATAGAGTCCTTTTTGGAAGTGAATGAAACTCAAAATGAATGAGGGATTTGAAAAAAACAAGGATTCAAAATAAACAGTGCTTGGAAAAAAGGCTGACTTAAAAAGCAACAGCAGCTTTTCCTGTATAAAAAGAAATTTTGCTAAAGAAATAATTTTTAAGAGATAAAGATTTTTATTCAACAAAACAAATCTCGGTTTTACAAATTCAAAGGGATTTGTTATGTAAAACTTTTAGCCTCAGTGTTACATAACCAGTGTGGATTTAACATTAAAAATAGAATCTAAGAAGTCAGCCAAGTGTGTAGCCAGCTCTCATCAGTGTCAGTTATGGCCTGCAGTTGTTTTTCTCTTAATAAATATGTTTTCAAGTTTTGCTTTGTGTGCTAGACAGTCACACACACACGTACGCACACACACACACACATTGATTTCAGAGAGATGAAAAGGTTAGCCTTCCCTGGCTAGACCAGCGGCTTCAACCGCTGGTTGAAGTGATTATGTTAGAATCACTTGGAAAAGTTTTGAAAAATAATATCAGACTCCCCCCCCAGACCAGTTAAACTACATGGGGACTGAGCATCAATATTTTTTAAAGTTCTCACATGATTTTAATGTGCTGCCTCAGTTGAGAACTTCTGGGCTAGAAAAGGAGCTGTTTTCCCGAGGGCTTTTATCCAAGGATATTAATATGCTGGCTGGCTGTCATGTGCTGGACATGGATATTTATATGTCTTTTTAACTTATGTCAGTCCTGTGAGTTTATACCTTTCCCCTCCCTTACTCCTTTATGGATAAAGAAAGACTCTGTTTAAGGAATTTGCTCAAAATCATGCAGCTAAAAAATCAGAATTGAGATTTTAATCCAGGCCTTCAGAACTCCAAAGTCAATGCTCTAACAGAGGGACAGTAACAAGTAGGAGAAAAATATGAACAAAAGACTTAAGCAAATTACATGTTTAAAAAAGCTTGCAAAAAAATTTATGAAATAAAATTCTATAATCTGTCTCACTTATTCTTTTGCACTCCAAACATGATTCCAAAAAAATGAGATTTGCTTTGTAAAAACTTGTAGATGGTGATCTAAATGGTTAAGAAATGTGGTTCTTAGCAAGCTCATTTGCTGCACCAGTTTAATCACTGCTTACTTTACCTGCCTCATCTCTTCATTCTTCCCTTTCTGTCCTCCCAAGTTTTACTGGACCTCGCATAGTCCTTATTCAGACAACATCATGTACTTGCCGTCTCTAGGCTTCTACACATGCAAATCCCAGTATAGCATACCATTCCCCTCACCCCACTTCCCCCTTCCTGCTTTCATTTGACTAATTCCAGCTCACCTGGCAATATGCTTAAGTATATCTCATACTGGCCTCCCAAACTGACTAGTCTTCCCTTTTATCCTGGGTTGTGTCTTGTGCTCCTTAAAAAGACCATGGTTTAGTAATGGAGCTAAATCAGCTCTAGAGCAAAGGCTGATCCATTACCTACAGGGAAAACTAAAAGCGAGCCTTGAAATGATCAAAGTCATCTATAAGTAATTCAGCTGCATGCAGAACAAAGTCCAATACTCTAAAGGAATACAACAAACCCAACATTTAACAAATACACAATATTCAGGATCTGATCAAAAATTATCAGGCATTCAAAGAAAGAAAATATGACATACTTAGGAGAAAAAACAGTCAATAGAAACAAATTCAGTATAGCACAGGGAGCTATATTCGATACCTTGTAGTAGCTTATGGTGAAAATATGAAAAATAATATATGTATATTTATGTTTGAGTGAAGCATTGTGCCATATACCAGAAATTGACACATTATAAAATAACTATACTTCAATTTTTTAAAAGTAAAAAGAAAAAATGCCGATTCAGAAATTATGGAAAGGAAGGAACTGACAAACTAGCAGCTTAAAAGAATATAAAGAAAAATATGGACAAAATGAAAAAAAAAAAAGGAAATTCCAAGAAATGGAAAGTCCAAGACAAAATGAATAAAGAAATGGATTTCCAAAGGAAATCATACCAAGGCACATGATAACTGAATTCATTAAAAACAGTGATAAAGAGAAACTGTTAAAAGCAACTGGAGAAACAGATTCACACACTATATACAGCCCTCAAGTCAAATCTATCTTGCCTCCTGTTTTTTCATAAAAAAGTTCTACTGGACACTGACACATCTATTTGCTTACCTATTGTCTATGGCATTTATTTCACTAGAATGGCGGAGTTGAGTAGTTGTGACAGACTATTTGGCCTGCAAAGCCAAAAATATTTACTAGAGTACTTCACTGAAAAAGTTTGTGATTTCTGATAAAGAAAAACAGAAGACAGCAGTCTTCTTATTAAAAAATATGCAAGCTAGAAGGCAATGGAATGACATCTACAAAGTGTAGGAAGGAAACGCTGCCTACGTAGTAAATATTTGCTATATTATACCAGCAAAGATGTCATTCAACGTGAAAGTGAAAAAGAAATTTTTAGACAAAAGCTGAGAATTTTTT